GTCCAAAGGAATACTAGGACATTTAATTTCCTTCCCTCCTACTTCAACTTTAACCACCAATTCAAAAAAAAAAAAAAAGAGTTATGAGTACATAGGGGGGACGGGACGTTATTGATTGAAAAAATTGGTTACACATGTGAGTGTGTGTGTGTGTGTGTGTGTGTGTGTGTGTGTGTGTGTGTGTGTGTAACAATAAAAAGATTTGAGGGCCAATTATATAATCCATTCCTAAGCCTCTTATTTTTGGATATCAGGACCTGGGGGGACTATCTGGTCTATCTGGATCCTTTAATTCATCAAACCTCTATCAGATATACCCAGTGGAGACCGAGTTAAAGGAAACTTAGTGGACAAAGAGAGGGCTGGCCCCTAGAATGGGATGTACTCTCACAGAATGGTACATGTGGGATCCAAAAAGCTATCATTAGCAGAATTCCCTTTGCAAAAAACTTAAAAATCACAAATTTGAGGGGAGAAACAAAGTACTTTGGTGTGATGAAGACCGATAGGAATTTCTTATTAGAAGGTCCCGGAATGGGTAAGTTTTTTTTGATTTTGGTAATGTGTTCTGTTGCTCTCACAAAAACAATGAGTGAGGAAGTGAAAGGAAAACATTTTAGGCTAGTTGCCTCTCTGTGTTCCCAGTAATGGGAGTCATGCTCTACACAATTTTGTCAGACCGATTAGAGGCAATAGATTTCCAATGCTGATGAGACCCTGAGCCCCAGAGCCAATTTACAGCTTGATATTTGGCAAGCAAGACGCTGACGTGGCAGCAGACATGGCTCCAATGTCCATCTTACCCCACAGTTATCCCTTCAATCCTTCTTGATGAGATTGGTCTGAGAGATGAGACTGTGCTGAAATTGCAAGAGCTATATAACTGCCAGAGAAAATTAAATAGGGGCTTCAAGTAGTGACTGAGCCAGCAGACTAAGTGGCCATGAGGGAAACAAGAACAGTTCCTAAAGAAGGTTTACAGAGTCAAGCAATCTCCAGGCAGGGCTCTGAAGTATAGCCACACAAGCAGGCAGGGCAAGGACATGCTCCACACCAAAAAAGCACCATCCTTCACTGTCTGAGAGCAATTCTCATGCTGCAGGGCAACTATCATTTCCTGCAACTCAGTTCTCAACTACCAGACAGGGAGAAATAAAATAGTTTGATTTTATTCATCCCAAATTCAAGCACAGTGAAAAATTGGTCTTGGTATAGAAACTATAGTTTACGAGGAGTTTACTATACAGAAAAGGGAGAGCATTTCCTAACTTCACAATGCCTTTCTCATGAAAATAAAGACATGAGTCAGAAAAAGTCACCTTAGAGGAAAGCTACCACCTCCTTAGGAGTTGTTTTGGGGAAGGCACCAAAATCCCCATAGAGTCCTGAGACCATCCATACAGTTGGAATTACTTCTTCAAATCAACTTATGTTCACATAGGCTAGATCTCAAATTCTATAAATAAGGTAAAAGAACAATTCAGAGGGTGTGTGTGTGTGTGTGTGTGTGTATGTGTGTGTGTGTGTTTAATGCTGGGGATTGAACCCAGGGCTTCATACATGCTAGGCAATTACTCTACCATTGAGGTACATGTCCAGCCCCTTGGAGGTTTTAGTAATACTTTAGAGGAATAAAATTTAACCATGTACACAATTTACAAAGGCATAAAAGTTTCCCAATATAAAGTTCCTTGTACTCTGTGACTTTAAGACATCTGCCCAAATATTGCTCATTTTTCACTTTCTATTATTTGTCTCTTTCTGCCAACTGAGGTAGTTGTCACTTTAGGATAGTTTAAGGCTCCAGGGAACCCTGATGGAAATAATCGACTGGCCACCTGGAGGGGAGACTCAGAGCTGATATTTTAGAAGTTAGCAATGGAGCCTGGGGCCTTTCAAAACTACATGCTAATAGCTGGTCTGAAAAAGTTGTAAAAGCTTTTTAAAAAAACATCTTTCTTTTCCAAGATCAAGATAAGTCAGGAAATCCAATATTGTGTACCTTCCATGAGTTTCTATCTTCCTGGGTAAAGGAATTACAGCTTTTTCCAGGGTTCAAGAATGAGGATAACAAAGAACCAAGCAAATAACAGATACTTGGGAATTTGCTCCTTCATAAATGACATTGCTGGCCTAAGGGTACTTTCCAATGGCAAAAGAATCTGAAAGTAATGCCACTATAACAAAAGGCAGCATGAACCTCTGATGAGAAATGAAATTACAAATACGTACGGTATTCTTAGGAAAATGTGTCTTCTCCTGATGGCTAAATAGGCATCAGAGGCATAAAGATAACCTGGAGACCTATTTCCTGGCAAGGCATCAAGAAACTTCACAAATGGTTTTAGGGCTTACAAATTAGCCTGAATCAACAAATTAGCCAGAATGGGAGAGTGCAAGGAGTAAAGAAAGACTGAAAGGAATAGATAAAATGGGCATACAAAGGAAGAAAAAGGGAAAGGAGATAATTTCTTGGTTCCATAGCAACTCAATGTATGTAACACATGAGAGAAAAAAAATGGGGTAAACATCATCATTTCTCCTGGCCAGCAGGAATAATGCTATAAACCAAGGGGAAGATAAGGAAGAAATGAGACAAACTCTCAACTGTATGAAATAGACCCTTCCTCAAAGGGAAAAAGAGTGCAAGGAGGAATAGGAAGAGAAAAAGGCAAATATATTTTTTAAATGGAATTAAATGTTGAATAAAATAAAAAGTTCAAGAGCTCTTCACTATAGAAGAACCTATAGGCATGTTACTAAAAGCAAGCAGGACTCAGAATATCATGTGTAAGAACTAATTCAAAGCTCAACACAACAGCTCCTAGGGCTTTAATGAATAATCCATAAAAATATCTAGGGGCCAACTGGGCTTATCACTCTGGAGCATTTGCTGGTTCAGGAACATGAGTTCGATATATTTTAAAAAACACATTTGTTTAAAAGACAAGACAGGCGCTGTGACTATAGCTCAGTAGCAGAGTACTTGCCTAGCATGTGTGAGGCACTGGGTTCAATCCTTAGCACCACATAAAAATAAAATAAAATAAAGGCATGCTGCCCATCTACAACTACAAAAAAATAAAAAAAAAAACAAACAAGACAGACAAAAATCCATTTTCCATGGGCTGGGGATGTGGCTCAAGCGGTAGCGCGCTCGCCTGGCATGCGTGCAGCCTGGGTTCGATCCTCAGCACCACATACCAACAAAGATGTTGTGTCCGCCAAGAACTAAAAAATAAATATTAAAAATTCTCTCTCTCTCTCTCTCTCTCTCCCCCCCTCACTCTCTCTTTAAAAAAAAAATCCATTTTCCTCTCAAAACAGTTAAATCAAGGATTATTCTAAAGTCACTGTAATAAAAGCAGAAAGCGAAGGATGTTCAGACTTATGGATTTCTCTCTGGAAGATGCAGCCTCTAGTCTGAAAGCCTTACTTACAATTCTCATTTTAGAGGACCAGCCAGTGACAGAAATGTCATGATCAAATCAACTTTCAAAGGGGAGAAAGGGGAGCTAGAATGCCATGCTGGCTGTGACCTTCCAGTTTTTTTAGAAACAGAAAAGTGGGCTAATAACTTAACAGGTGGAAAGCACACTACCATAGCATTCACTTTGTCCACTCTCCCTCCTCAGGGATCCCACAGAGACTACCACAATCATTCCCAGAGAGATCTACTCAGGCCTCTCATTTAATTTCTGCACTATCCTTCAACCTGCTATAAAGGCCTGTAAGAAATGCACAGTGCTTGCAACACAACCACTGAGGCACCAAATCAGTCTACATGAAAATAAATAACTACCACACTTAAGTCAGGAAATTGTTCTGTGTGGCAATGAGGTGCTGAGAACCTGAGTCCTCCTCCTCCTCCTCAGAAGTTGCTTCCTCATCCTGGGCAATAATGCTCCCTAATCCATATTCCTGTTCATGGACAGAAACTTCATTTGGTGTGAGGTGGAACGAACCTTCTACAAAGTCAGCAAATCTGGAAAAGAGAAGGTAATATTCATTAGGAATCTGCCTTCTGTCCTTTTAAAAATATATATATTTTTTTATTTATGTGTTTTAGTTGTAAATGGACACAATACTTTATTTTACTTATTTATTTTTATGTGGTGCTGAGGATCGGACCAAGTGCCTCACAACATGCTAGGCAAGTGCTCTACCACTGAGCCACAACTGCAGCCCAGCCTTCTGTCCTTTCTAGTTGTCCTTCAATAAGAACAAATCACAACACCTGTTATGTTCACAACTCAAATAATAACGAGTCTAGTCAATATCCCTGTCTTTACTCTGACAGATAAATGGAGTAAAGTAAGAAATAGAGAGAAAGGAAGGCTGGGATCATAGGCCAACCTTCCCTGCAACCCTATTCTGCTTAATAAGCACTAGCCTGTCCTTTTTAGTCAAGGAAGTGCTAAGGTTCCTTGAGTCACTATATTCCTGATAAGAGATGATTAGGGGCATTACACAGTTATTTTTGTTTATGGCCCTATAAACTTCATGCTGTCAGGATTCCAAATTGAAGCTTCGCATACTCATTGGTATAACTACTCCCAAACAAAAAGGAAAAGGAAAAAGAACAAGAAAAAAGAAAAACCAACTCAGGGAACAATGTAAAACTTTCATAGTACAGACATAATATGGAATCATCCCACCTCAGTGTTATAAATAAAAGGTAAGGCAGGTAGTTCCTTGGGGAAAGTGGGGAAAGAGGAAACAGGTTACTGATATAGGTATCTTTCTCTTGACTACCCTTAGATGAACAATAAACAAAGGCCACAAATACAACATGACTATCTAGGAGTATGATCTCTGTTAGAATTCAAGGTCACAATTACCCTGATAGATACTTAGCTTATCTGGCTAAGAGTTTACCTTTTTGGAGACTGGATTCGAGAAATAGTCTTCCAAGCAGAACAGTCTGGACTGTTACAAAATTCTCGGAGCTCCTCTAAAGCCCTTCGGGTCTCTACCTCTCCTTGTATCCGATATTCTTCTTCTGTCAGGAGACGAGGGGGGACAGGCTTTTCTGTTGCCTTACACATCTTTCTGTGCTCACCAAAATAATATCATGAATCATTAATCAGTAACCTATATTCATCCTTACTTCTAGAGCCCTTCAGCAGACCAAGCATACAGCAGACAATCTGAACATTTTAATAAGAGTTATCACTCCCACTTTTTTCCATAGACATCCTTAGTTATGATGGATCCTGACATATTAAATTACAAATGAAAAGTCAGAATAGTCATTATTATTCACTAATGTGAATAAATTCATTTATCTTCCAATAAATAATAAACAAAGTATTTATTTCCTGATAAATAGAAAAACAGCAAGAAAACAATGTTATAATATTATGGTCTGTTAACTTCATTCCTCAAACTGAAGGTATCACTCTATCTGAAATAGAACAACCACTCAGAATCCATGACCATTTCATATTCACTATGCAAAGTGATAACATGCTATGAATTACATCTTAAAATAAGATTAGGACTTCTAGAGCAATTTGATCCCCAGTGTGAAATAACCTGAAATAAGGTAACCTGAGGTCTGTGGTATAAAAGTGATATAATTTGCACCACCTAGTGGTAACAGGGACACATAACAATTTACTGGATGCTTTTATATAAATGATTAGAATAAAAATTTTTAAAGCCTAACAGAGTCTAAAAACATAGTCTCAGGAAGAAACAATGTCAGAGAATAACACAGTGACTTCTCATTAACAAAGAGGCTCTCACAGGGCAACGCCTCTGGATCCTTTTGCTACAAACTGTATCCCATACTGCACTGTGTCAATACAAAGTTATACTGCCTTCCAGTCACCTGTAGGTGATGTACAGCCACTGAATAGGGTACTCCAGGTTCTTAGTACACAGTGCAATGATGATAATGGCAAGGGCAATGTGAGGTATCTGGATGCCGGAATACATGAAACCCAGGCCCATCAGTTGCAAGGTCCAGGTCAGCAGGTTGATACTTCGTTCATTCTCCAAGGGCCCATACTTGTAACATACTGCAAAACTCATGAATCCAACTGTGAGGATGTAGCCTATGAGAAAAGTTATCAGAAGAAATTCTTTTTCATCTATACCTGATAAAGATAATATATACAGGAGCAGTACTAAATTCACAATATAGCATCTACAGAAGCAGGAAACTGGATGTGATCTTTACTCAATTTTTCATTTTTCACTATTAGAAAATATAAATATACACTCACCCACACATATAAACACACACTTATATCTTTAATTTTCTATCCTTTTTCTGTTGTACTATTTGGTTCAAATGAACAATAAAGCTACATGTTGAAAAATTCTGAGTTTACTTTTAAAAACCTGAAATATAAAAATATAGATTAATAACCACATAATTTCTCAAATGATAGACTGAGGGTTTCTATCAGCATAACCAAAAAATTCTCATTTTATGGACAAGATTCACTGCAGTCTTCTTTTGAGGAAAATGGGGGTACCAAGGATTGAGTCCAGGGGCACTCTTATCACTGAACTACATCTCTAGCCCTTTTATTTTTTACTTTGAGACACGGTCTCACTAACTTCCTCAGGCTGGACTTGAACTTGCAATCCTTTTGCCTTAGCTTCCTGAGTCACTGGGATTATTAGGCATAGGCCACCATGACCAGCAGCCCCTGTAGTCTTTTACTTCTTAAACCCTTTAAGTCCCATTGTTCCAAATGAGAGACACCTAAGAAACTTAAATTGGCCGGGTGGCATGGTGGCACATGCCTATAATCCCAGCGGCTCAGGAGGCTGAGACAGGAGGATCACAAGCCAGCCTCAGCAACGACAAGGTGCTAAGCAACTGAGTGAGACCCTGTAAATAAATAAAATACAAAATAGGGCTGGGGATGTGGCTCAGTGGTTGAGTGCTCCTGAGTTCAATCCCCAGTACCCATTAAAAAAAAAAAATCCTTAAAATGTGCAAGAAATATACCATTTATGGTAACTTTTGAAATGAATATTAAGTTTTTACAGTTCTATTCTTTTGAGAAAATAGGTGAATAATTAGAGTATTCCAAAAGATATTTCATATATATAAAATATATGCAAAAAATATATGAGCTCTAGATTATTTTACCATATTTTTGTCAATTTCATTGAAATATACAGAGTTGAAAACTTGGAACTTAATGAGTTAGGTCTTCATGTACTTAAAATATAATTATATTAACAAAGTCAATTTTATCACTTGTCAGAAAGATACTTTTTGTGCAAAGAGAAGTGCATTTAAATACCAACAAATTAAAATCTTCTCCATAATACCTGTATTTTAATTTAAAATAAGGTAGTAATGGTGGAGATGTTTAAAATAAATGGAAAACTATGATTTTTCAAATTAATCAAATGACATAACTATTAACTCTTTGTAAGCAGGCAACATCTTTTAATGATCAAATTAACTAAAATAGCCTACAAACATGCAAAAAGAGAAGCAAAACCGACAACACTTACTTAAAAGATACTGCCAGTAACACCTCCAGATCTCTTGTAAATTCTTAAAAACTAGCTGAATGAGGTACAGAGAAAAGGACCAGCCTCCCACCAGGATGACGTAAATGGGACTTTTCTAAGAGAGTAAAAGTGAAAGCAAAAGTTACAACAGACTTTCCATACATAAAAGAAGCAAAATGGAATTAGGATTTTTTTCTTAAAATTCAACCTACTCAAAATGCACAAAAAACACATCTCTTAAAAAGATGTCCTTTATATCTAAAAGGTACAGTCTGCAAGGAACACTAGGAAAATGAGATACTAAATAACTTAAAAGCCTGGCTATGCAATTAGAAAACAGAAAAGTGACTTTACACTCCCACTGAGCACAGGATTTTAAATAAAGAGAGTTTTGTATATAATCAGGCTTCAAGTTTCATCAAGGAAAGTACCTTTCAGAATCAAGGAAAGAGTAGGGCATTCACTCTGTCATCAATGCAAATTTTCAATGTTCTAAGATTACCTAAGAAAACAGGCCTTCAGCTATTCTGAGTTCATACTAACTGCGTATGAAGATTCTGCTACTTACCCTGGGCATGAATTTGGATAGTATAAAAATGATAATTAGTAGAGAAGCCACAATTCCCACACTCATCCCCGTGGAATAGTAGAAAACTTGACTCCTGTAGAGAAAAAATTTATTTCATGACTGTTGGTATATACTCTGTACACAGCATTATTGAAGCCAGGGCAACTAACCAGCCAAAGGATTTTTTTTTTTTAAAAAGATATAAGATTAGAGTAGGTATTTACCAAAAACTTGAGGTCAGAGAATTATAAAGACTGATACAATATAGTTGCTGGGAGATTATGAAGATTATTATCAATGAGGTCCTCTCAAATATATCCCCACAATAATAACACTGCTTGATCTTCCACTCACATCCCCAATCTCTCTCCTAACCCAATTCTTTTTTTTAATATTTATTTTTAGTTGTAGTTGAACACAATACCTTTGTTTTATTTATTTATATGTGGTGCTGAAGATTGAACCCAAGGCCTCGCAGGTGCTAAGCAAGTGCTCTACTGCTGAGCCACAACCCCAGCCCCCAACCCAATTCTTATTAAGAATCTCTCTTCTGAGGAACAACTCAGCTTCTCTGGGGAGAAGGAAGGAACAAGAATACTGCCCAAGTAGACAGTAAAAACTAAAACCAAACTGACTATCCAGAAAGATAAATTAACCTTTCATGGGTCCTAGAACAGAAAGGTCCTACTTCCATTCCAGGTTCTTTCTTCAATTATTTCCTGCTCTCTGTGAGTTTCTCTTAGGATCCCCCAAAGTAAGGAAAAATTTCCACCAACTCCACTTCATTCCAACTTCAAATTTTAATTTTTAATCTTTCATTCACTATTCCACAAATATTTTTTACTTCATATATACATAATGATGATTCTACCTTTATCCAATGTTTTCTTAGTTATCCATATTTTCTTTGCATCTGTACATAACAGTTTCACCTCTCTCAGTAGGTAAAAAAGAAAAGCAATGTACAGCAGCTTATGTTTGTCTCCTTACATGTGAACAGTATGAAACTCATCAACATATGACCCTGTAAATATGAGACCTTCAAGTATTAACTCTAACAGTAAAAAGGATAATGACGGTCACCTTTATAGTAACTGTCTAACTCCCATTAGCCCTCCATGGGTCTACTCAATGGGAGAATTTCATTATTAACATTGCTATTCAAATCAGAAAACAACAAAAATCACAACACATGTTGTTTTAAAAATATACAAGCAGGCAAAATCTAAGACATATAGGCCTGAAGGGGGGATGGCAGTACTTATGACTTTTATGATAAAATTCAGACCTTTTCAAGCTGTACATTAGCCTTCAAACCTACCTGCTCAATAAGTCTCCACAAAAAAACAACATAAGTCCAAGGAGGAAAATGAGGAAGAGTTTGGGGTCAAATCCTGAAATAAATAAAGATTTTTTTTCTTAAAAGGGGAGCCAAACAGTTTAAGGCATTATAAAATAAAAGGCAGTTTTAACATTATTGATCAGCTACAATAAAATAAATACAAATAGCCCACCTAAACAGCATTGTAAATTCCACACAAAGCCTGGGCACTCTTTCAAAGAGAGAATATAATTAGGTTTCTGCTTAATCTACTTTTCTGAAGATCTTACTTATATTTAAGTATATACCTACTTAAAGCTACCTGGACTAAGGCTCAAAGAAGCTAAGCTTCACTTTGGACCAAATTAGACACAGTGACATAGCACTTCAAGCAATTGCCCACAAGAGGTCTCTACCACTCTTTATACCCTTAAATTACAGCACAGAATTTAGTAAATTTGCCTAGAACTCTGGGTCTGAGCCTCCTGTTTCTTTCTGACTGCTTGTCTTGCCCAATCTCCTTCTTTTCTTTGCTACATAGCACTGTGCTGGAAAAAGCTACCTGTCAAATACATCTTGCCCAAGACCAGAGAGCCCAAGCAAAGACCCCTTAATAGCATACCAGAGACTCCTACAGCTTTTACATTCAAGAGCTCTGAATCTACGGGAGGCCCACAAACAGAGCCAGAGGGCTTAGTAAATATAGAAGGGTACACCAAAAAACAGCTATACCACCATGGAACTCTAGGACTTTGGAAGGGCATAATCTATTTTTGTAGCAAAAACCTAGAAACATGTCTACTATTCACAATATGCCAGGATCCCAGGTAATAACCAGGGAAAACCCAAGTTGGAGAGAACTCAACAAAATCCATCTCCTCTAAAATTTTCTCAGATATCTTCAGAGAAGGAAAAACATTCCCCAGCTCCACTGAATAAGTCTTAAACTGCAATGGTCTTTACTTACAGTTCCACTCTTTTTATTTGTGAATTACTAATAATCAATTTTATCTTTCTTTGGTTTTTATTATTTAACCACTAGAGTCTTCAAATACAGGACAGCTACCTTTGTCTAGAAGTATCTATAAGGCATAAACATAACTGACTCACTATAAGAATACTATGCATATCAGCTCAGGGCCATTGGCAGTATTAGAAATGCAAGACTTCACAATTTTAGGAAGGAGGTACTCAGAATGGCCTGAGGTAGTGTCTCGATTCTAGGTCTAAAGAGTCTTATGTGGGTGGAGTCTTTGTGAACTGTTTGGAGCTATGGTACACTCAGGGCTATAATCAGAACCAAAAGGGAGCCATCTTGGGTGGACTTGTCTGTCTCACTAATTATACCCTCCAGAACTCACTCCCTTCTCAATCTAGAATCCATCAGAAAAACAGGGGTGAGACTTACTCCGGGTCACAATGACACTGTACTTGGCGTCCTCTATAATTTCAACTTTAAGGCAGGTTTTTGTGCTGTATAGACCCACGTTAATATAGGTGTCATTCAATTTCTCTTTTAAAAAAGAGGAAAAAAAGTTCCAGATACTGAACTGCTCGAGCTCCTTCAATTTCTCCTCATTGTCTACCTGGGTGACTCGGACCAATGTGGAACTATTTACCCGGATCTGTAACACAAGTAAATCAGGATGAGAAAGAAGGAAGTAGGTTTTTAAAATTTTCACAAATAAAATTTTTTAAAACCCTCAGTTTTCTACAAGGCTTATCAGAAATATAGAGATACAGCAGCTAAAACATAGTTGGGCAAATAACACTGCACATGGCACAGAAAGGAAGCTGTTAGAATGTCTTCTTGTTAACATGATCTGAATCTACTATTAGGCCAGAACATAGTGGGGTGAAAGACTCTCAAGCTGAGTTATCAATACAGCTATTTATAAGAGATCATACAAAGAAAGGATCTAGATTATTAAGAAAATTACCAGTCATAAACAGCCCCAGAAAACTAAAAATGTTTCCCATAATGACAGGCTGAGAAGTTCAACCTATTGTTGCAAATCAGTGTAAATGCTGATTATAATGTACCCCAGATGGAGTATGATTTTTATACGAGACAACAAAAAAAGAGAATTAAAAAAAGAAAACAAAAACCACAAGCCCGCTCATAGGTTTTTGAGGTGAACAACAAATACCCTTATCAGTAACTATACTTATAGTAGCAGCAACATTTTCAAAAGGACTCATTTTGTCCAATCACTATTACAGCCAGACACTCTTGCTTGCCAGGTGACTTAACAGTGTTATGAAATAAATAAGACCAAAGTCATTTTACCAAGGGGAAACTTCAGCTCAGGTGGTTTATAAAACATCTTTTGTAGAATCAAAATAGAACAGGGGCAGCAAGGCAAGAGTTTACGTCCTGACAGGCATGCCAGTTTCCAGCCCAAAGAAGGTATAAGGGCTTTAAAAAGAGAGAGGTGTGTTTATGTGCATACTGCCAAAAGGAAGAAAGGGGAGGAAGCTTCTTTGGGAAAAGAAGAAAGGAAGTTTACCTCAAAGTCATAGTACTGTAAGCTTCTTAAGGGAGCTGAGATGCCCCTTCGAGGGGCTTCCAAATTATTACCTGTATCCGTGTCCATATATCATGCCACTTTGGGACAAGCACATTTTTATAACAGAACTGTTGGCTGGTACTCATACTATAAACTCGGGATTCCTGAAGCATGATCACATTTACATCAATTCCAGCTTTATGCAAAGAAAGGAAACAAAAATTAAGTATAACAGAACAACCTAATAACTGTAACTCATTTCATAAGAAGAACTAAACTAACCACTTTCTTAAACTTGGAGCTGAAATATCAGCCAGACCAAGAAACAAAACTAAAATGAAAGAATAAGGCAGAATCTTATCTCTGTTCCATTTAATTGTGTGCAGGACTGCGTGCACTCAGGATTAAACCCAGGGCCTCAAGCATGCTAAGAACACAATCTACCACTCAACCCCAAAATTTTATTATTTAAATATTACAAATAGTCATTAACTCAGAATAAGTATTAACTACTATTAAGTGTTTATTAACATAGAGTGCTGTTTCATTTAACCCTCTTAACAGTGCTATGGGAGATATTTCCATAATGCCTAGTTTACAAATGAGGAAACTAATATTGAAGAAAGGTTAAGTAATTTGTCCAAAGTTAGACAGCTAGTAAACAGCCTAATGGTGAGAGTCACAACCAGGTCTGACTACAGCTTTAACCATGTTATCCTGCTTTTCCTGTAATGGGATAACTAAAGTAAGCTAAAGTAACCCATATATTGATTTTTCTAGATACCCTGAATAGGACAAACTAACAGAAGTTTTTGTTTGTTTGTTTGGTTTTGTTTTTAATAAGTCTTTAAGAAGAAACTAAAAGATTGCAAAGTTGCTGTTTATTCCAGCTGTTTCAAGTTTTAAGAGCAGCCAATATGCAGTCTGATTTATCAAAATGGAAGATTCTCCCCTCAGTTTGTATTCATCCTTAGCTAATTCAAGGTTTAAGAGTGACCATTCAGCTAGGTGTGGTGGCACATCTGTAATTCCAGCTACTTGGGAGGCTGAAGCAGGAGGATGGCAAGTTCTAGGCCAACCTGGGCAATTTAGTGAAACCTTGCCTCAAAAATAGAATTTTTAAAAAAGGGTTGGGGACGTAGTTCAGTAGTAGAGAGCTTGCCTAGCATGTGCAAGGCCCTGGGCTTAATCCCCACTACAGGAGTCAGAGAGGGAAGTGACCAGTTTCCTATACTTTCCCATCCAATTTTGTTCACATTCCTGTTTTAAACACATGCATTTATTTATTTATTTATTTTCCCCAGTGCTGGAGATTGAATCTAGAGCCTCACACCTAGAGTAAAGTCCTCTCCCACTGAGCTGCATCTCCACCCTGTAATTTCTTTCTAAAGTTCTATGTTTTGCATACCAATTTATCAAATTCTATCAACTGGAAATTTAGTTATCACTTTAGTTCTTGATATAGTATAAAGGTGGGGAAATTCAAATAAGCTAGAAAATAAATAAATAAAAAATACAAAAATCTTGATCAAATCTTAGAAAGACAAAATTACACACACACAAAAAGCACTGATGCCTACCACTGAGTCCAAATGGTTTTGGGGTGAAGCTAAGACCAATTTTGATTTCACATTTAGTCTTTTAGCAAAAAAAACTACAAAACTCAGAAGAAAACATAGGTGTACATCTTTATGACCTCAGATTAGGTAATGGTTTCTTAGTTATAACTCTAAAGTATAAGCAACTAAAAAAAAAAACTAGGTAAACTGACTTCACCCAGCACCAAAAAAAGAAAACCAACAACAACAAAATATTGCTCCAAAGGACACTATCAAGAAAGCAAAAAGACTAACCCACAAAATGGAAGAAAATATTTGCAATCGTGTATGGTTTAGTATCCAGAATACAAAAATAACTATTACAACTCAACAACAACCTAACTTTTTAAATAAGCAAAGGATGTGTATACATTTTTCCAAAGAAAATACACAAATGTCCAATAAACACATGAAAAGAGATTCAACATCATTAGTCATTAGGGAAATGCAAATCAAAACCATGATGAAATACTATTTCACACCCATCAGAATAGTTATATTAAAAAAGAGATCAATAACAAGTATTAGTTGATGATATGGAAAAATTAGAACCTCCATATATTGCTAATGGTAATGGAGAAGTTTGGTAGTTGGTAATTGAAAAAGTTTGGTAGTTCCTCAAAAAGTTATCATACAATTCCACTGCTAAGTATATACTCAAGAGAACTGAAGAAATGTGTTCACATGAAAACATATGAATGAATTTTCACAGCACCATTATCCAAAACAACCAAAAAGGAGAAACAACCCAAATGTCCACCAACGGAAAGAACAGATAAGCAAAATGTAGTATATCCATACAATGGATATTATTTAGCCATAAAAAGAAATGAAGTACTGATATATGCTACCAGACAGATGAATTTGTTGGGCTTGGTAGCATATGCCTACAATCCCAGTGACTTGGGAGGCTGAAACAGGAGGCTCATATATTCAAGGCCAGCCTCAGCAACTTAGTGAGACCCTCAGCAACTTAACAAGACTCTGTCTCAAAAAAAAAAAAAAAATTAAAAAGGACTGTGGATGGAGCTCAGCACTTCTGGGTTCAATTCCCAGTACCAAAAAGAAAAGATAGATGATTATGGAAAACATTACACTGCATAAAAGGAATCAGACAGATGGGTGCACACACATACACACACACACACACACACACACACACACACACACACACAGCAACAGAAAGCCACATATTGAACAATTCTGTTGATACAAAATGTCTAAAAGAAGCAAATCCACAGTGACAGGAAATAGATTAGTAGTTGCCCTGGGCTAGAAGGAGAGGGGAATGGGTAGTATATAGAGTTCCATTTTGGAGTGACTAAAATTTTATGTAATTAGACAGTGGTGATGTTGGCAAAACCTAGTGAAACATTAAAAACCACTGAAGAGAGAATCTTATGGTGTATAAATTTATATCTCAATTTTTTAAAAAATTAAGTCTTTATAAACTATCAATTTCTCACTAGGGTTATACAATAGTAATTTGGGTTTCCTCCAAGTCTTTCCTAAAATGAAGCCTTTTCAAAGTCCTGTTGACACTTATCTCCCTAACAAGCCTACAAATATACAAAAAGAACACCCAGTCACAAATATAGATCAAGTTAATTTTCTTATGAAGAGTGAAGAGTAAGGTTACATAAAACGTTAAACATACTGTATTTACAAATGTGTTGAGGCCTGCAAAAACACTGCAAAGTTAAACAAGAACATCGGGAAGTTAAAGTTAAACAAGAACTGATTACTTTGTTAAAATAATATACAGTCTATTTACAAATCCCTAAGCAAAAACATGCACCTGTGCAGAAAAAGAAAAAAAAAACACACTTATTAATCCTTTCTCTCCCACAGCACCAAATAATATGACATAACACTTTTCTAAGTCTATTATTACTTTCAAAAGGGTAGTTAGATACAAATAATGCATCAGTACCACAGGACATTTGAAAAACTTAATGTCAGAAAAAAACATCACTGTTTTTCTTTTGTTTGATTATTTTGGTGCCATGGATTGAACCTGGGGCGCTTAACTACTGAGCCATATCCCCAGCCCTTTTTTATATTTTACTCAGAGACAGGGTCTTGCTAAATTGCTTACAGCTTCTCCAGGTTGCTGAGGCTGGCTTTGAAGGGATCCTCCTGCTTCAGCCTCCTAAGCTGCTGGGATTACAGGCACATGGCACCATGCCTAGCACCATCATTTTAACAGTAACCTTAAAGTTTTCCAAAGCCACATTCCTAAAGAAATAAAACTGTCCTATAAGACCCAATGCCAGAATTAATAAAATCTAGTTTTTTTCTTTTCCTGAGTCCCATACTATTCAAGGGGGAAAAATTAATAAATAAATAAACCTCTTCGATAGTAACCTCCAAGAGAAATCAGCACCTTGGCTAGCCATATCCTTGGAAATGAACTGAGGGGGACAATATGACAATTCGGCCTTAGGGAATAATCTGCAGAAAAAAGCAGGACTCCAGATACAGATTAATATTTTCAGAAATATACAACTAAACCAAATGACCTTAAATATATTAGTACCTTGTATTTCCCATAGCAAAATAACATATATCACTTTTCCTTCCCTCCTCAAAGTGAGTTAGCCTGCATGTTAAAAAGCAGAATAAATTAAAGTCAGGCGTATAATTCAATATAGCACTTGTCTAGCATGTATGAGGCCCTGGGTTAGATCTCAAGGACTGAAAAATGATAAAAATAAAAACTAGCAAACATGAAAGAGCAGAACAAATTAAACATTCAGGAAAACAACTTCTGAACCTCCCAGAATTTACTGAATAATAAATTGCTAACTGTATTACCTATAAAGTACCTATTCAAAGATTAATAATTAGGGGCTGGGCTCAAGTACCTAAAGAGAACGGAGTACTATTTCAAAAGACAGGCAGTAGTACCAGGTAGCAGGGTGCTTAGCTAGCCTGCACAAGGCCTGGGTTTAATCCCAGTTCTGCAAAAAAACAAAAAATAATAAAATCATGTGAAAAAGACCAGAAGAGAATGTGATAAAATTGATTACATCTAAATGGAATGAACAATGAGAGTTCTGATTACTTCTTTATGCTTAATTGTACTTGCAAAATATTTAGAACAAATATGTATTACCTTTATAATCAAACATTTCAAAAACATCCAGTGAGGACTGGGGTTGTGGCTCAGTGGTAGAGCACTTGCCTAGAGCAGTGTGACACTGGGTTCAATCCTCAACACCACATAAAAATAAATAAAATAAAGATATTGTGTCCATCTACAACTAAAAAAATATTTAATTTCCAATGAGGGCTGGGGTTGTAGCTCAATTGGTATAGCATTTGCCTTGCACGCGTGAGGCACTGGGTCGATCCTCAGGACCACATTAAATAAATAAATAAATGTGTTGTGTCTGTCTACAACTAAAAAAAATATTTTTAAAAATCCAATGAGATTGGGGCTGGGGATGTGGCTCAAGCGGTAGCGCGCTCGCCTAGCATGCGTGCGGCCCGGGTTCGATCCTCAGCAGCACCACATACCAACAAAGATGTTGTGTCCGCCGAGAA